ACCTCTCTCCTTTCCCTTGGTTAATGATAATTTACTAGAATAAAAATATTTACCAGGTCATTGTCACACACAGATCATTGTGTACACACTATTGGTGTGCAAGACACAGTTCCTTCTAAACAATGAAAAGTGATTGACTTAAAGGGATTTATGGTGATAAAGTCAATCATTAGACCTTGATAAAAACTTTTCACTATACACATTAGATAACAGTATAATGGTATTTAAATTCTCATACTGGATTTATTCTCTGTTGCTCCAAACAATTCAATTTTTTAACAAAAAAAGGCTTATGCTAGATCAGATCAAACGATAACTTATTCAAAGTATATTTGTAAGGAGATAATTATGGATAAGGAGGTGTGGGCGTCACTTACTAGGGATCAATGAACAGACACCCACAGAAAGAGAAAAATTAAAACACAAGAGCATATGCATTGGCTTGTGAACGCTGGCAATAGAATTCTGGGAACTGCAACTCCTAGAACACTCAGCCACCCACAGGCTGACTGTAAAAGATATAAAACTACATGTTTTATTTGCTTTTGTATTTATAATAAACACAAATATACTCACATCCCCTATCTGGCCAGGGTCCAAGCAAGCAGACCGTTTCTCTAATAGTAGGGTTCTCCTGCCCCCAACTATTTAATCCCCTTGTAATATGCAGTGGGGACACAGTTGTAAATAGCTCTGTTTTAGTCGGAAGTATAGAATTCTGGCTTTTGTTCCACATGCCTGTAATTAGCAGCAAGTCTGTGCCCAGTGGGTGAGGACAGAGACTTTCGTAGCTCACATAAACTCTTCATTCCAACTCCCAACTTGACATTGTTTGCTACAAACAAGGTAAGTGCACCCACCTCTCTGATTTCCCACCTAGGTGCCTATTATTTAGGCAATCATTCCACTCTCTGCTGGGTGTTGTGATAGGGTAGACAGCTGTCTGCAGCTTTGTTCAATCATTAACTTATCCTAAAAAAAACCACTATTTGAGTGCCTGTGAGCAGTGTAATGCATCTCTGGCACACACATTGTTACATTTTTTGCTAATTCTTATGTTTTTAGAATCCAGATTCCCTATGTATGTATGGAGTGGATTTTCTCATTTTAATATCTACATTGTACATACAGGCACTTTATACCTTCCACATATGTAACATTCAAAATATTTGTTTTAACTTTTTTGGTTGACTAATTTATGCAAACAATTGTTTTGTTTTTACCTTATACTGTTTTTGGCAACCCCCCTATTTATATTTATATATTGCAGCAGGCAAACAAAGATTATGATCGTTATTTGTTTTATTTTAGTTGAGTTGCAAACGAAAGTAAATCCCACTAAAATGTATACAAGTCAGTTTTTAATTAAACATATTTATCTAATAGGACAGCAGTTTATGCTTTTTTTCCCCTTAATGTTTGTGATTTGCAAAATACCCATGTTTCTTTTAAAAAGGTCAATCCTATAAAAGGCTCAAGAAGTATAAAATATAAATGATTTATTTTGTCTCCAAATGAAAGTTAGATGTTTCTAAATATGTTATAGTATAATTTTTCAAGGCAAAACAAGTGCTATTTAAAATGTGCAACACTTAAAATGTTGAGACAGTCTATAGGTTTCCATGGTGACCAGATGTTATTAGTAACCCAGAATAGCACCCCCCCCCCCATTATTCTTCTATAACAAATTATATTCTCTATAGACATAACTATGCTTTAGAAATTCTGAATATTTGTAATGAAATATATTTGAAACTTGAGACTGCATGATATTGAATAAAAATGATCACTGAATATACTGATTCTAATTAAGAAGGGTTTAATTAGTAATTAATTTAGCCTACATTTTGCCATTTGATTTTTAATTCACCACAGATCACCGTTTAGTGAATAAATCACTTGATATCTTTATAACTGTCCTGGGATTATAGTGATTTTCTTAGTGACTAGAATATCAGAAAACTGTAACTCAATATATGATGGTCCATTAAATAGACAAACTCTGCCATTATATGTAGCACTGTGTGCATTGCTGAGGATACTGGGAGTTGGAGTTGGACATCCAGCGCCCAGAAGGCACTATTTCTTAAAATGTGTGGAGAGCTGTGTCAGTTTACGGTTTTATTTCAGGTGATTTGGAAGCACATATCCCCTCTCTGACAAACCCATGCTATTTCTAAGTAACCCAAGTTACTTCAGCAATGACCTTTAACACCAAACAGTGTGCAGTTTCCTAAAGGGGGTCATTGAAATTCCCCTGCAAACTGAGGCTATAAAACCCAGGCTGATTTCACAACCCCCTCTCCTTGCTCACACCTGCACACCCTGAGCTGGTTATTGTGAAGCTTACTGAGCAGCGCTAATGATCATTTCTTAGTACATATGTATGAAATGTCTCGCCTGTACCATTTAATGACATTTCCCTATGAGGGTGGAGAGAATCTCCTTCAAATAAATGTTGGTAATGCAGTATTATTGCATTCTAATGTGTGTGAATGCAACAAAGTGTGGGAATGGAATTTCATTTAACCCATAGGGCACATCAGACATATACGTAGATGAACTTCTGACTGTGGGTGACTTGCAACGAATCAATAAATGTACATTTTATAAAAGTAAACAGGGTTGCTATTTTTTATTATTTACTTTTTTTTAGAACTAATGTTGGAATGTGAAAAATATTTTTATGTGTATGTCCAACCCCCTTTTTTGCTTTTAATACATATAACCCCATTAAATTGGGATTATTTTATTTAAAAAAAGTCATTGTTTTATTTATGTTATATTAGTAATGTCTCGCATATATAGCGTATGTACAACCTTGTGAACAGGCAGATATGAGATTTTTAATAAAGATCGTGTATAAGAAAAAGAATCGGACCTATTTATTATAAATAATGCCCATGTGTTTCATTTTTCCTTAATTTGCTCATTTTTGTTTTAATAAATACCCTCTGTATTTTTACTTCTCTAAGTCCCAGAAGTCCAGTCCCTGTTGATAGTTTCTCTCTCGGATTTTTTTCCCCCAAGACATATATCTCTTTTGCATGCTGATGGTCAGCGCACGAAAAGTGCTGCCCCTCTGTGAGAACTCAAAGCAGATTACTAGAGCTCGAAGGGATATCTGTCCAGATAAATATTGGATTTGGCAATTCTATTTCTCTTAATAGATAAAAAGAAGTTTGGAGTGCTCTCTCTCTCTCTATGTTTTTTTGTTTGTTTGTTTTTTAAGTCTGCATGCTGATTTAGTTTTGATGGTACATTTTGGGGTTATGTATAAAGAGGAATTCTAATGCAGAGTTCTAAAAATGGAGCAATCGCTAACATTCTATTGGTTTCCATGGTGATTGCCCACGTTTAGAACGTTGCCCCAAAATATTTCTCTACACATAACTCCGAAATGATCATACTGGACCATGCATTTTTACAGAGAATAGAGTGTGCAGATCAAACAGAATATCCTCCAGAACAGGTTCTCAGTGTGTGCTGCGATTGTTGCAGTGGGTCTAGCAATCACACACTCTGAGCCTTGGCTGTTAGAAGGTGTTTGTTTAAATTGGCTCCTTTCAATTCCTGAATAGTAAATTGATAGGGAATCTGTTTCCTCGCCAGTATTTGAGTTTCTCATTGAACTTTGATAATACCACTTTAAAGAAATAAAGGTGCAGTACTTTATTAGATAGGGTACAGTCATTTCCTGCAGCCTGCAGCATACAAGCCAACATTAAAAAAAAACAAAAACATTGTTATCCAGGTACACTTTGCCTCTGGCTAATCACCTCACTCCATTCCCATTATAAATTCTTGACCCAAGAACAATTCTTGTAGATGAGAAGCCAGGCTGACTTGTGTAGAATAGCTAACATCAGCAATTAAACGTTTTAATAAGCCTTGTAGCCACATGAAATTCTGTGAGATTATATATTTTAAAAGTGTGCTGTAGACTTTCTAGATCATTTGTTCTTTCTGAACAATGACACGTTTAAAGCACACAAGCACATTGAGAAAAGTGGACTGCAACCCCTATGGATCTCAGGCAGCCAAAAGAGCGTTGCAGTCCACTTTTAGCTGTCCAGTTGGAAGACTTTAGAGGGTTGAAGAAAGACGTATCTCATTATGAAGAGATCTGCCATATTGCAGGGGACTAAACTCTGATTAGAAATGTAACACACATTTCCGGTGACAACTTGTAAATGACAGCTGGTGACATGTGGATGTATAGGTGTGAAAAGTTTTACTCTGGTCCAGAATCTAGAGACATAGTCTGGTAATATGTGCTGTCCTTGTATCCAGAGGAGTAAAAGGGGGGCAGCATGGCTGTGTTATCAGTTGAAACATTTTCATCTTGAAATTATTCCAGGGCCACCTACAGTTAGCCCAGTTTCCTTTCAATGTCTATACAGACATGCTGGGTGGAAGCTAGTTCACAGTAAGTCCTGATATTGCTGTATCTCAGCTGTTGTAGAATAATTTTCCAAACTGACCTGTCAATCACCCAGCGAAGTGTCAATCACACACTGGAGTCAAATCTATGATTGACAGCTGCACTGAAAAAGATTCTACAGCACTCAGATTTTGTGTTTTGATATATTAATAAATAAACAAAATACCCCTCTGTCATTGTAAAACACTGCATAGGTAGAGAGTTGGATATATATATATTTTTTAAGTATAAAAAAAATAAATAATCTTTAGATGACTGATAAAGGTGAGCCTTAATGAAACATTTTTCATTCCCCCAGCCAAAAGCACAGCGCATGTAGCAGTGTATCCTGAATGCTTTCTACTTTTTTTCTGCCTATAATCATCGTGTTCCTGGTTTGAGGACCCTCCTAGCCCCCAGCACGGTTCCCATTCCACCCCCTAGTGATTAGCCAGTGCATTGTGCTGGCTAACACAGCGTTAAAGGCAGTCTGGCTTGCTATAGGTTAGCGATCTGCGCATGCGCCACACTGAAGTTTTCCCAGCTCTGCATCTCAAAGTTTACCCACTGAGAGCTGAGGACAGGAGGTAGCAGCAGAGGTGCAGCAAGAGCCCCCTCTATCCAAACAGGGACCCCTTCTGCCAGCCCAGAGACCAGGATCTACTTATGGATTGTATAGGAGCCCCCTGGGGTGTCTAACTGAGTGGGATCAAGACTCAGGAGGCAAAGAGGAACACAAGCCCCCCATTAAGGCAAATCTGTGTCTGGAGTGAGGAGTCTGGAAACCTAACTTGGGATTTCTATTTTTTTTTCAACTGGATTCCCAAATAAAACAGAGGTGCACCCTCTCCTGGCTGACATCCACCTTGGAATTAGAGCAAGAATTACAGTGTTTATATTTTTAAAAATTTTTTTATAGCTGATTCCGTTTTTTTGTGGGGGGATTCTTGGAGTGAGACCCCCTTATTCTTGCTGCGATCCCTGATGGACTCTGGTTGTGCAGACAGGGTCTCTCTGCTCAGGTGCTGAGCACTGTGTAAAAACTATCGGGGTACACTTTACTCTGCATATTTGAGGGGTGTTTGCATCTGGAAAAATAACTATTACCTGACAGCTGGGTATCAACCCTGAGATTTTGGGGAGATTTATCTTGTTCAAGAAGGGGGAGAGTTCCCCTACATCCTAAGGACCTAGGGGATCTGATGTTGGGGATCCTGTTTTAAGAAAAGGGGGTTCCAGTCACCTCGATCTGATTTACAGGGAGTGTGTGAATTTTTCCTTTTTTTTAGGGGATATCCCCTCAATTTCTTCTCTGGGTTTTACCTATACTGGAGCTGCAAGGTTCTATATTCCTGGATTTAACTGACTTCAATTTGGATTATTTAACTGTCCTTTAACTGAATTATAATGAAGGTAAGTGCCAGATCCATCAATGCCCTCCGATTTTCTATACATTGTGTACATGACTTCAATACACATTTTATATAGAGGTGTTTATTAATATGTATATAGCTTGCTCGTATTACATCTCTCTTCGAGTGGTTCATCCAGAGCTGCTCACAACAATTAAATCCCCTGCTTTTCCTCCTGGAGACTTCCAGCAAGAGCTCTTTGCAAAATATACACTTTTAATGTACAATTTTACAATTTAATAAAAACTTGCTTTTTATTGAATACTATCTGCACGACCATTTTCTGACATAGATCTGCTATGATTTTCTTTTTCTAATCTGGCTAACTCTTTCAAATCTTTTAGTATTGGCACACTATGCTGATGTTGGCTGAGTGTGATGCGAGCTGCAGAATACATTTAGCGAGAAATGGCTAGTCCCATTCATTACCTACCCATTATTCTATTTAAATATAAAATACAGCAATTCGCTTTTTTTCTCCCCTCTTGGTAGAAACGTTGGCAAACGACCCTATCACTAAAGTAACTTGAGCTATTTCTAGCAGACATTAAGGATGAGAATTTTTTTTTTTTATTTAAATTTTTTTTTTTTTAGGATATTTTTACTTCCTATAATTAGAGAAATCTAAATTTACTAAACGTTCTAACTGCTGGTGGCTAAATATCTCCTCCAGAGATCTAGAATGGTAAGGGCGTTCTAAACAATATGGCATTCTTTAACCCTGAATTCAGTTGCTATAAAGTTCCTTATAGTCATCCAGAGATGCTATCCTGGCTTTATGATGATCATAATAATATCAATATAAGCTTGGCCATTAACCACAGAACACTTACTAACCCTCAAGTCATCACAGACTCATTGTCCCAGGAGATTGCTGGATAATCTTAGGGTCAGAAGCCATCTCCAGAGGAACAGGAGAAATCTAGGTGGTCATTTCTATTGGTGGTTGACCAGGAGAAAACCAGAGGTGTCCTACCTATGGTCTCAATAGTGAGCATCTCCTGATCTACACTGCCCCCTTCCGGTAGGACATATATAGATTTTTTTTTTCTGAGCTTGATCAGCCAGTTCAATGTAACTTTTCAACCCAATTTGTGAAGCACGCTGTGCTTAAAAAATAAATAAATAAAAAAAATATTGTGAATCTGGTTTAACTGTGCCAGCTACTTGCTGGCTATTTTTAGCATCGACCAGAGCCATTCCTTGCTCAGCTTTATGAAATGAGCCGTTATAGAAATCCCAACAGTTTTATTACCTTAAAATAAACAGAGCTGTCAGCTCAAACTAAGCAGCTATACCACAGACCAGCTCCATGCTACCTGCCTCGAACCAGCTGGCTATGGTCTGCCTACAACTCCCATCATCCTTAATTCATATCATCATTTGGGAAGGGTCGGACTTATTGTGTAGAGTTGGGAGAATAGTCTGTTAAAGTGAGAAATCTTGTTTTATTTTAGACTAACCATGAAGGATTCCTGGTTGCCACAGGACTAGCTAGAAGTTGTGGCCATGTGGTCACAGGCCCTCCTGACTTGTGATGGCGTGTGGTTTCAGGCTGATCTCGTTATTGTATGATTGTAGCAATGTTCTCCAACTTATCCTGGGCATCTAAAATCCTTCTCTGCTAGTTATTGGACAAACCATGGGCAAGGTCACACCAAACCATATCATTGAGATATTAGAGATAGATGGTATTAAGATCTGTGTGTTGATGATAATAATGAGTTTGTGTTTATGCATGTACTTTTTTGGGGGGAGAGGGGAGGGAGGTGGAAGGTCTGAAGGGAGACAGTGATGATGTAATTAATATTTATAGGGATATGGTTTAAAATTGGGGGAGGGTAGTGTGTGAGTAAACACTGACACTATGTACAGGAGAGTAAGAAGGGTATAGAAAGCGGGGTTATTGATTGCACCCTGTAATGATATAAAGGATAGCAATGAGACTGTGATGATTTTTTATATCCCCCATTTTTTGGGGGGATGAGGGCGATGGCACTTATGCCTTGATTGGGAATGTCAGGGGGTACAGCACTGAATTGGAGATCAGTATGTTAGAGGGCCGTAAGAAGCCAACGATGGTCTTTAACATATATAGGGTAAAAGTGCTGAAGCTGTTATCAATATGTAGCCAGAGCGTAACACTGGTTTTGGGGTATCAATCTTTTTTTGTGATTTTTTTTTGGGGGGGAGAGGGCAATAATGGTATATTGGAAAGGGGAATGGTATATTGGAGAGGGGAATGATACCCCTAACTGTACTGGACAGTACATTCTGTGATGTTCTAGAGCAGACCTTTCTTTACCCGTGGGTCAGCATTTAGGGGTTCCCCAACATACGTCACCCTGAAAAACCTTTACAATTTTATTCCAATTTTTTTTTTTTTTTTTAAAGTGTTTAATATGAACAATGAGATCGTTCCCACCTCCTCATTTTTAAACTGGTCATTTTATTAGAGCTGTCTAGAATTGGTGAAATATAAGACGATAACCCTAGCAGTTCCAGATTAAATAATTCATCCCCAGATCCCATTGCATGGTACTATGTACCAAGGTTTCATAGATCTCTTTACCTCATTGTCTTAGTTACCTGAACCCTATGCATGTCCATACTGATTTCTTATCATCATAAATTTGTAGTATATTACTTTGACAAGTATACGCCCTCCCCCCTTCCCCTCTTAGACCAAATTTAATCCTATCCTATCTTTTTTTTTTCTTCCCCCCCTCTTCTGAAATCCCTAGTTATAGCAGGATGCCCCCGTGTGTCGATTCCTTAGAAGCGATTTTGGTATATATTTTTTTTTACCCAGCTTCTTTCTTTTGTATATATTTTTGTTAAATTGTTCCTTTTTTCATCTTTTTGTTTAATAGTTTCAGATTGTAAACAATATTACAATATCATAATTGTTGCAAAAATAAAAATATATAAATAAAAAAATTAACTTACAACTATTATGTAAAAAGTGTATTTTTTTTAAATTATTTTTTTTTCAATGTATCTGCAAGGTTTTCGGAAAAGTAATGTAATTCTTAAGTTATTTGAAAATTATTCTAAGTGGGAATTAATCTCCAAGTAAAATTATTCTAGATGTTACTAAAATACATTTAGAATATCAGACTCTATTTAATAAAATTCTCTAATATATATTAAATTTGACATAGTAGCTTCTAGCAAATTATATATCACTTAACAAGCCGAATTAGAGTGTAAATAAATATAAAATATAAATTTCGTTTTCACGATTATTTTTTTAAAGGCGAATATCCCCCAAGTAATGGATTGCCGATTTAAATAAAATACACCTTTACTTTTGTTTTAAAATAAATTTTTATATGTTCTTGGCATTGTTTTATTGTATTACTTAATCTTTATTTAATTTAAAAGTAAATTTAAAAATGTGAAAAAAAATATGAAAAATAAAAATTGGAATTATAGTAACATGCTTTTGTGGATTTGAAAACAAGCTAAAATATGTGTTTTAAAATATATATCTTGAACAAAACTGGAAAAGAGATTTGATTTATTGACAATTTATTCACAAGAACACCTAATGTATTAACTAGAATTTGAGTTTAGAGACTTAGGAGTTTACTCTTAACTAAAAACATAAGTGAAAACAGAAGGGGGGGAACTCACCCCTCACCCCTTACCGCTATACAGAATTTACAATCAAATGTGCTCACTAATCATTATGTCCCTGTGTTTGAGAAGGTCTAACAACTTTAGAGGTTTTCAGGATAAACTAGGATGAAATTATTTATTTTGCATTTCCACTCCATTATTCGCCTGTCTTCAATCTAATGTATTCTTTACAAATATCAAGATAAATTGAAAGAGTTTTGTCACAGCACAAAGCGACACAAAGTAACAACCATTGTGATATTTTGTTTTTAATAGCAGCTTAGTCATATTTAAAGGTAAGTATTCGTTTTCAGATATTTGCAAGTTGATAGAGCTGTTTCTTTTTTTTGTGATATATATTACCCTGCGGGCTTGGGTGTGTTCTAATAATTTAGATTATGATGAATTAGTTTGACTAGAGTGTTTTTTCTGAATAACTGTTTTTAAACATATAGAATATATTATTAAAAAAGAAAATTCGGAGTTGGATTTTGTTTGTTTGTGTGTGTGTGTGTGTGTGTGCGTGTTTTTTTTTTCCTGTAAGCTAATCAATCAAAAGTAAACGAAAACTCGTGTAGATCTTAACATAAATGTCATTTTTTTGTTATTAATTATTGCTCCCAGTCTGCTTATGTGTGCATGCACTATAAAAGTGAATGTTGATGTTAATAGAGATGATATTTTTAGTGAACTGTATTTATAATATGCAGTCCAGGCTGTGGATAGACAGTGCTTTTTGGCATTGAAGGTTGTGCAATCTTACACTTATCAGATCTAGCAATAAATAACCCTCTCTGACTAGACATGATGGGGCTGGGATAGCTGCATTATAGATACAGTTTGGCAGAGTAAGTAGCAAGTCATTAAAAGAGTTACAGGGATGAGGAGCAATCTGCTTTGATCTAGAGGAGAACACACTCAGAGGGGAAGCGAAGCCAGATGAAGGTGAGAGACAGGGAGATGGTCTTTGTTTGGTGGTCAGATAAGTATTCTGGGGACAGCTGTGATCTTCAGCTTTTGATTTGTTTAAAAGGAATTGTCGACTAAAAGTGAATGTTTGTCTGTGAAGGATCCACCAAGATCTCGGTCAAGGTTTGAGGCTCAGAGGTTGATCTTTGAATTTTAGGACTAGACAGGGCCTTAAAGCCCCTCCAATTTCAGGTCCTAAATAGAAGTCCTATTCTGTCCATGTATGACCTTTCCTTGATGGAGCATGCTAGTGTAAAGATTTTTTGTTGTTGTTGGACTTGTGAAATGTATTTATTTTAATTTTGCTGAAGATTCAATTTTTAAGATTCAATAGTTTTAAGTGTAAATACACCCTCCTTTCTAATAGTTGGTCTGTCTATTGGGTGTCTGCTCTCAGATGAGCAGTCTGGACCTGACAGCTGTGGAGATTGCTCAATCTGAATGTTATTCCTCAGTATTTGTCTTGGGGAATGGACATCCTTGGGAACTCTATTAACAGGGCTGTCATACTGTAGCAGGAGACAGGAGGGGATTGGCCTGGGAGTCTTTTTATTTAAAGGAACTTTTTTCAACATTTTCTTTTATATTTTAAGACAAAGCTGTCCAAAGAGGGACGGTGGGTGTTAAGAGGGTTCTGTTTTGTAATACAAGGACATATCCAATTTGACTTCAGCTTCAGAATATATCTCATCTTCATGTATGTTACTTCCATCATCTCTAAAGTCCTAAGTCCTTTCTCAAAATAATTAGGCAATGTCACATTTTTCATTCCTGCATGGTAACACAAAAAGATTTAACCGTGTATGTGTGTGTAATGTATTTATATATGTCTGTGTGTGTGTAATTTTGCACTCAATTGTCATTTGTACTGCATTTAGTTTTTGCATTGGGGTTTAGGACAATAAACCATTGCATATAATAAAATGGAATCTAAGTGTAGAATCTATGGTTTTAATACCTACAGGCATTCTTTTATATTTGTATATTTGTACTCTGTATATGTTTCATTACTTTACAAAACTACTTATTTATTATTAAAATATATAGTGCACTGGAAATAATATATATATTTTTTTATAAATGTTTATTAAAATAAATGTGTATTTTAAACGACTGTGCTCAGTGCAAGTTCCCATTTCCCCCCAAATATTTACATATTCTTCATGTTTTTCAGAACTCCTTGGGATTACTAATACCCTGCAGTGCAATGACATTAAGGCACCTATTATTGTTGATAGTGACCCTGAGTTGTGTGTCACAGGCTATAGTAGAAGCCGGTTCATGGTGGTAAGTATGACCTTCACTTTCAATTGTTTTAATGTAACCGAATACTAGAATGTGTTCTTTAATTACACTATTCCACTGTTTGATAGGATGCAGAGCCTTATTTAAGGCATCCCATAATAATCTAGTATTATTAATCGTGCGGTTGTTTTTTGATGTCTTATATTTTATAAAGTATATAGAGACCTGATTCGCACACACTCAGTCAAAGGATAACGGATTAAGATTTTTTTTTTTTCGATGCAGCTCATGATTTACAGTGATTCTTAAATTATTCAGAATGTTTCCAATATTCTATATAGGCGAGGCTGTGCAATGCCCTGCAGTCTCTACAGAGAGAATATCGATATATTAGATTATTTAAATTTTCCTATATTTTCATACCTATCCTTAACCTTATGATGTTTATTTTCTAAATCATTAACTGCTTTGAAACCAAACTCGAATTTGGCGAATTTATGTCCAGAATAACCATTGTTTGAAATTATTTATATATACATATTATTTTTTTTTTTTTTTAAATCTGAATTTTGAATTTACTAGAAGTCATTGTTTAATGAATGAACTGTATTATTGAATTTGTTTCTATTTGACAAACATCAGTGGTTCCATCAATTTTAGTTTTTAATCTTACCTATAAAATGGGGGGGGGGAAGGGGGGAGGTGGGGAGGATAGGGGGCCCCCTAGACACAGCCATATTTTAACCCTTTGGCTGCCAATGAAAGAAATCGTGTCTCACTATTAAAATAAATAGACAAATGAACAAAAAAAAACCAAAAAAAAAAAACCCAACAAATAAATAAAGCTATATACATAGCTTTATGCCCCATGCAATGACAAGAGTCTTAGACTGTTTGTTTGATTTTACACGAGTGCATCAAGGGTTAATAGCACCCATTTTCCTCTGTACATGTTGACCCTATTGTCTCTCTGTATAGGTCACTGGCTATGAATCCGGTGCAGATCCCCGAGGTGTATATAATTGGGGCTCAGCCCCTATGCAGCCAGTTATCAGGACTGTCTCAGGGACAGAAGAAGCTCTGCCAGCTGTACCAGGACCACATGCAATACATTGGGGAGGGGGCAAAGACTGGCATCAAAGAGTGCCAGTACCAATTCAGGCACAGGAGGTGGAACTGCAGCACAGTGGACAATACCTCTGTATTTGGTCGGGTCATGCAGATAGGTAGGTACCCATTTATCAATCTGTGCTCTCTGTACTACACCCTTCCTGCATGCATGTTAAACCCCGAGGAATACACTCCCGAAAGTAAATTGTAAATCCATTTTCTTTTGCAACATATTTGTCAAAATAGAAAAATTGGACATTTCTGAAACTCCTTTTTAAAAAAAAAAAATAAAAAAAAAAAATCGTTTTTCTATTTTGGTCTTACTGTAGCAAATTCAGTCTTCAATAAACTATTTCAACAAATAGACCCAAAAAAGTTGCAGTTAGCAGCTCAAACTTCATGCTACTTTTGTGCATGTCTACAAGTCTTAAATATGTATTAATTATTACACACAGCCAGCGTTTTTTAGAAAAAAATGTTCCTTCAGTTTTAAGATTGAAATCTTGCTTTTGTGGGATTTATTTATGTGTTTATATATGTGATTTATTTGTTTTTGTTTTAATGCAATCTACTAAAAGAAATGTTATTTATTTATTTTTTTGGGAAAAAACAATTGACTGTTTGTTTTTTTAATTGGTAAAAAAAAAAGTATAACTTTCCAGACAAAGTTTACTAAAATCTTAGATTGTATAACTGTTTCTTTATATGTAGAAGCAAATTAACAAAACGTACTTTTGTTTTGGGAAATTGTACAATTGAATATGCTGGTTAAACACAAGCATTATTTTGAAGTTGATACATATCTGTTCTAATTGTCATTAATATAGATTTGTTTTTTTACTACTTTCTGGATAGTTAAAAAAAAAAAGGAAAAGGAAAATAAATCTGTCTTGTGTGTACTTATTTTATTTTGTGTATCACTGTGTGTGTTAAAGGGAAATGCCTTAACTGTTTGCAAACCAGACTATTATGTGCAACATTTTGCCTCTACTTGGCCAACACCTCTCTAGCTTAAAGAGTTAACACAGAAGTAATTTATAAGGGCAATTAGCCACTTAAACTAACTGCTTCTCCTTAATACTTATATTCAGTGTGTGTCTCTGACTAGGATTTTGAAAAGTCCTTTTCATTGACTGCTAAGAACCTGAGACTTATTCAGACCATATTTAATTTTCATAAACTGGGCAGCAAAACAGATGTATCATTTTTTTTTTAATTTTATTTCTGGGAAATTAACTGAGATGTAAATTTGCAAGGCTTTTAAGATGATATACATTACAGAATTAATGTGCTTTGGTAGGAAGGTTGGAGCATTTTTGTGGGGTAATTTCAGCCATCAATGTTCCCTCTTACATACCTTCTAAAAATCACAACTTTAATTTGTACTTTACACAAGGTATGCACATCAATAGCAAAGTGCATGTTGTTATAAATAAACATAGAACAACCGAATATATATATATATATAAATATATATATATACATACACACACACACTCTTGCTATAAAGAAGTTGATTTGAAAAATGCTAACACTCAATACATATACATTACAATGAGTCATTTGAATGTTAGAAAGTAAGTTCCTTATTGTGGCAATCAATAATTATTATAGTAAAAGTGTGCAGATTTTTTTTTCTTTTGCAAAAACCTTATTGGTGGGATTTAACATCATATTTGGCATGTTATGATATGCAACATTAGCTGGCCAAAAAGATAGATCTCATTCCATTGCAGAACTACAGCTTCAATGATGCCTTGCCTTCATTACGGCTGTCAAGGCATCATGGGAGTTGTAGTTCTTTAAACAACTGGACGTCTACCCTTTTCCCTGATACATATGTACCGATTAGCTTAAGCCATTGTTCATTTAATAGTAACTGTGCTGCATATAGGAATTTAACCTCTTCAATACCAGAGGCATACCAGGACTGTCAGTGAAGGGATTTGCCTAACTTTAGCACTGAGAGAGTTAAAAGCTGTTCAAGACTTTTTAGTTGGTTAACCTTTTGAATAAAGGAGATATTACATCCATTTGCCTCTTTTAAAGGGCTAAGGATTCCAAAGAAAATCATTCAGTCCTATGAGATAATTAAGGAGGTTTGCCATTTCTAATATTGTATCACCTTGGCAATAGAAGGGTTAAAGAACTAGACTTCTCATCTAGTTTTTAGGAGACTTTTCCCTCTCTCATTGTTTCCATCACAGCAACAGTATGTATTGTTTATTGTCCTCTATTTGTGCCATTAACTGTAATATCTCAGCTTCACCTATGGCCTGTCTGTGGCTTATAGATCCCTATACATTACTCACATTTCGCAGACTGCATAGAATATTTTTCTTATAATTGAATATAAACATCCTGTTGCAATGTATTTAAATCCTACCTCCTAGTGGTTTTAAGGTACACTATGAGATAAAGATACATAAGATTTTAGTACAATGCAAGAATAAGGATTACAGCTTTGTGTAAGGAAACAAAAAGATACTGATCTGATTTAAAATACAGAAAAAGCTAAGATTTGTTTTTTTCCTATTGCAAATTTATTTTTGCAAAGTAATTTAAGTGCAGTTATTGTAACCCTCCAAGCATAGAGCTTCTCCTGCTGATCATACGGTTTTCATTTAGTGGGAAGGGAACTTTTCTGCTCAAGGGTTTCTGGGCTAGAGTTACAGATAAAGCCTTCATTGAATCTTAAAATACACTCCATCCTGCAGTATAATTAGGTACCAACTTCACGTTTAATCTGAAAATGCAACTTTATATGTGAAGAGATTGTTTATAGCATGTGCAAACTGTAAGCCATTATTTAAAACCTAAATCCTGGCAATTGAAGAAAATAAATGTGTTTTTTTTTTTTTTACATTTTTTTTTATACTTCTTTCTCTGCAATCTTGCCACTGGATTCTGATTGCATTTCATATCCACTGGAATCTTGCAGATTAATTATTGACATCTCATTACACTAATAATATACATATCTGTCCCTTGGGGGCAAATGTGATGCCCATGACAGTTGTGCTCATTTATTTCTTTCTCCTTACAGGAAGCAGAGAGACCGCTTTTACTTATTCCATCAGTGCTGCTGGAGTTGTGAATGCAGTGAGCCGAGCCTGCCGAGAGGGGGAGCTCTCAACCTGTGGCTGCAGTCGAGCAGCCAGGCCAAAGGATTTACCCCGTGATTGGCTATGGGGTGGCTGTGGGGATAATTTAGATTATGGCTTTAGATTTGCAAAGGAATTTGTGGATGCTCGAGAAAGGGAGAAAATTTATCAGAAAGGATCCTATGAGAGTGCCAGGATTTTGATGAATCTGCACAATAATGAAGCTGGGAGAAGGGTGAGTAACTATGTCAAAAGGGGATTTAATTTTATTTTACTTACTATAAATACATCATCCCGTAAGAAAAGACAATTCATTATTTTATTGCGTGCATTGTGAAGAGTGGTTAGTTTATCTTTAATATGCTAAGCTTTATTTAATTAGGATTTTTTTCACTATAGTGTGAATTATATGGAATTAAAAGTGTATTTAAATATAAACATCACAAAAGCCAAATTAAAAAAAAAAAATCTCTAAATCAGCTATGTTTATAATTTGGCTTCTCTGGCGTAAAAAATGTGAAATTCAGGCATTTCATACTTTGGTTAATAACCCTCATGGTTACTCAGTAAATTCAGATTTTTAGCAAATGAAATTCGAATGGCAAAACTGAGGCTTAAATAGTCAAACTGTGACGCAAAAATATATAATCTAGAAAAGAAAATCTCATACTCTGCTAAGAATACGATTTTCATTTCCTACAATAAAGATTGAAGTGAATCGCCAGTAATCTATACATACACTCCCAAGACTACTTGTCTCGTGGATGTTATTCAAACTCTTTGTTCATTCTGTCAATCATTTCAAATATTAATCTAGAATCGTAATCCAGTACATGTGCCATTACCCATTTGCCCAATTATTTTGTTGAAAGAGCTTGTTACCCAATTTGTTATCCACGCTATCTAGCCTGGATGATATGATATTCTATGTTGTGTTAATCGTAATTATTGGTATTTTGTTGTCGAATTGGGGTACAAAGACATTTGTAGGTATTGGAAGGTAGAGATAATTAATTGAAGATTAAAATGGCACCTGATTCAAATCTATAAGTCCACTATAAAACTAAATGTGTTAATCTGACAAATCTACTACATTCCCAAACTGAGATGTAAAACATTTACTACAGCATTGCTTTTGGTACTTAGAGAAAAATATTAAATTATTTCTAATACAAGAAGCAGAATTTCAGAGTTCGCTATATATGGTGCCAAAATAATTTCCAGGGGTATATCTTCCACTGTGAAATACATTTCATCTTTCATGGCAATGTACACATGTGTAATATATCAGTGTGTCAACCTCAACAATTCCAGTGTGAATATGATACCCCTGGAAAGGAATTTTGACATCTTCAGGCAACAATAGAGTCTGAAGTACTGTTTCCTGTATGAAAATAGTCTGGTTTAAATTTCCAATAATGCTAAGGATCTCCCCTGTTTTAAAGTCTATTTAAATACAAGTACAGGTAGATACATTGGTAGTGGTCAAACGAGGTACAATTCAAGTAGCCACTGATATTTTTTCACAATGTTTCCTCTATTTAGGAAGTAGTTTTGAATTCTTATGAAATTCCCACAGGTGGCTCTGTAGCACAAGTGACTACAAGTTGACAAGTTTCTATGTGGGATGGAAGAGGTGTTATCGAAGATCTCCTAGCTTAGTATAATTTGTGCTACTCTTTCAGGACAAACTTGGCAACATTTATGGGTTTATTCACTGAAGTCTAGATTTAGCAAAACCAAGAAACAGGGGTGTGGAACTGCAGCCAATCCCCATTGTGATGTGAATCTGTGTGCAACCAGGCCGGTCCCAGTACCAAGAACCAAATACTTGATAGCACTCCACGATTCAAAGAATGCAATTTATTAAACCCATCGCCAATCACAACGTTTTGACCTGTACGGTCTTGACGGCTTGACAAAGACCATATAGGTCGAAACGTTGTGATTGGCGGTGGGTTTAATAAATTGCCTTCTTTGAATCCTGGAGTGCCTGGACCACTTTCTATTTTTAGGTTTAGCAAAAGTCAGTTGTATTGAATTAATCAAATAATTAGACTTTTTATTAAAATCATATGAATTAGTTAATGGTGTGTAATAAACAAAATACATGTGCTACCTACAGGGGTATATTGGACAATAACCATTTCCCCCATGGAGATAATTATTAAAATCGTGCTAATGATAGATTTTTGTTATGATAAAAACTTTAACTGTCTGCCTGCAACTTCTGTCCAACCAGATTGTGGTTGAACATAATTTCCAGATAGATTTCATCCAATTCAGTTTAAACATCACTGAATTTGAGAATTCAGCTGTGGTTCCATCATTTGGTTCTGCATGTAAAGATTTATCAATGTCTTGATTTTGCAGTCTGTATGTCTTTGGTCCCAGATTTAATGTTGATAATCTGGAGCAAGAGACATTTGGACTTGAATGACTAATTCCACAGCTTTAAATCTCAGATTGTTCTAAAGTTCTTTCTTCACAAAAACAATACTTTACCCTTGGCTTGGCTTGGCTCTAGTGAAGGATGGCACTGTTTAGGGAATTGGGTGGAAGAAAGATGAATGTGTATAGTGGCTTAAGTTGCAAAAAGGAACATTTCCATGCATCACATTACAAATTGGGCTCTGCAGTAAAAAAACAAACACCCGAGGCCTTGATGTGGGGGCTCCTGTTGTTGACCTTGTATTTTAGCATGAAGAAGCACATGGAACAATTAAAGGCTATCATTTATTTACTGAGATACTCTCTGGCTTGCCTTAAAATGTCAAATATCAGTATTCCGTGTACCTTTTAAATCAACCAAAAGTCAGATGCTGCATGTAGGCTTCTAACTAGGTGAATTCAGAGTTTTATTTGTTCATGCTATAGGGGAGTTATTATCATTCGGAAGGCAAAAGGAAGCAGTAAGATGTGTGGACCAGAACTCCTTATTTGTTACTTTTTGACTGCCAGAATGATACAAGATGCAGTGTAAAGTCTGTGCAACACAAACACTTTCCATATATTACTGACTAGCAAAGGATAGCAGTGAGAGATCTGAGCACCAGGACCTGATAATTAGACAAACCTAGTCGAGGGAGAAGACCGATTGTGGGTAATATAAAAGCAGTATAAGACTTTGGGCCCCTCTAAAATATAGGGCCCTGCTCACCCATCCCTAAAGGTTGGACTCCTGTTGGAAAAGAGGAACTTGGAACTCACCCACTTTTGCTAAATATTAGGTAAAATATCAGAATCTGTGTGACCCAGTCTTAACAAGAACTAGAGACCACGAGCTTCAGAACGTTGAAAGTTATTTGAAGGCTACTTTTCAGAACTCCTTACCTCTATGGTATCTATGGACATTGCGTAAATACACATAACCTGCTTTGAAAAACACAAAATCTGTGCATGTAAGCCATGTAGAAACGTAACATTGTTTCTACCAATCTTACATTTCCTGGTGGCTTTTTCTAGCATCTGATACCAGCTGGATCTGTAATAGTGTGGACAGCCATTTGACCAGAATAACCCACTCCAAACATTGTGCCACGTGGTTTTATAGTGACAAAGGAATATTAGGTCATTCTGCAGGGACATATGCAATCAGTGTTTGAAGCACTGCCTTAAGTAGACTCTCCAATCACCAGATATGAACCTCTTTGCCCCATCTGTGGAACACTCTGGAATGTAGAATGTGAAGTAGGTTTCCACCTCCTTAATCCCTTAAAGAAATGATAACATCTCTTAATAATGTGAAATAATACATACCGTTCAGGGCTTTTATAACAACATTCACAGAACATTTTCTAAAGATAGCAGAAAAAGGAGGGGTCTGCACTCTCATCACCTGTAGACATCGGTGCACCATACCTAGGGCTGGCAAACCAGTAATCCATATAGTAACAGCAAAGTAGCCTAGGCACTCAAGGTCTTAATACATCAGCAGATTTATTGGAAAATCATGATAGACACAGAGACAGCTGTATCTGTCATGATTCTCCAATAAATCTGATGATGTACATTGAGGGGACCCATCAGTAGGCCCAGGCACTTATGATCACCGGATGGACATTGATGAACATGGGCCCAGTCTGGCACCGCGGGACTTTAACAGCATGACCTGTAGTGTTGCTGGGGGGAAGTGAAAGCCTGTCACTTCCTCCGAGATACAGAGGAAGCTGCGAAGGTGGAGGACTTGGAGAGGAGGAGGCTGCAGCACAAGCAGGATGGTAGGAAAAAGCAGTGAGGGGTGTGTATTCCAGGCCCAGACCCCCATTAGCCTCAGACACCAGCAGGTCCCAAAAAAGTCACCCTCCTGCTTTAAAAAAGGTATCGTATCAGGAGGTTGGCTAAAATATAAAATTAATTGTAAAATTATACATATTGTATACATGTACGTGTGTGTATCTATGTGTTTATCATTGTTACTGTGTATGTATGTCAATGTGTCTGTGTATCTGTGTATGTGACAGTGTATATGTGCATACATCCCAGGAATCAAACATACCCATACAAAGATTACATACAATACCCCTGCATTGAATCACCAACATTCCATACAAACACACCCCTTCATTCATACAACAATACTTCATACATATGTACACCCACATTTAACAGCCAAAGCTACATTAAAACACAGCCCTGCAATTAAGTGCAAACATTGCATGCAAAAACACCCTTGCATTAAAATGCTAAAATTATATACAAACACCCCTTCATTAAAACATCAACACTACAAAGAAAAGTGCACCTGCATTTGAAAGTCAACACTATATACAAACACACCCTAACATTCAAACACAATCATTACATAGAAGTACACCACTGCATTCCAATTACAATAGTATATACAAATACATCACTAATTCACACACAGATACTCGCATACAAAAACATGCTTACATTCAAATGCAGAAACACTGCTCACAAATACAACTCGGCAAGGATGGGCAAATGGTAGATTCCCCAGCTGGCAAAGCATTGTGGGAGTTGTACAAAACATGGCGATCTACCTTTTTGTCCCAATAAAATTTCTTGCACCAGGACGTGGTCTACGTTTGTTCCGCCTCTAAGTTCCCCAATACTAGATACTAGAAAGTGGCTACAATTCTTGGCAAATGCATTTTAATGTTACATAATTTTCTAGTTGAGGAAACACTAGCCAAGACAATGATGCACACAAACTATCTCTCTTTCTCTCTCGAACCTCCGAGTTAATCTCATTAACATTAGTGATGAACTCAATTTTACCGAATACAAATATGTATTCCTAACACTAAACTGTTCCTCTGTCACTATCACCCCACTAGCAAATAAAGGGTTAAAACCCTCACCTTATTCCAGTGCCAAAGTCCTTTGGCACTGGCTCCATCTCCACCTCCTCAGACATCAGCGCTGAGAGGGAAATCTAATGCAAATGTGCGGCAAGCGCCATGCGTGCTTTAGGCCCTCCCCATAGGAAAGCATTGATTCTAATTCAAGTGGGGGGTTTGAAGATGCTGAACCTCATGCAAAGTGTGAGGATGTCCTTCGTCGTTTTACGGAATCAAACTCTGTGAAACAGCAGGAAGTGCTGATAAGATTGGCAACTGATAAAATCCATAGAACATATCTGTCAAATATGAGCATTCTGTTCACTTTTATGCTTCTTTAATACAGTGGATTTCTATAAAATAATGACAATTTTAATTAAAAAAATTTGAAGAGGGGCTTTTAATATTTTAATGGGTAATACATTTTCACTTCCAAACCAGTTTTTCATTTATTTTGAGTGATAGAATTGTGTTTTGACACCCAAGTAGTTTTGTGCATAGATCACACCTCTGATGTTTCACTGCTTAGTTCTCTGCAATTTATGAGTGAAATCACTTTTGTTTTTGTTTATGCAGCCCTAGCTACACCTCCCCTGACTGTGATGGACACAGCCTGCATGAAAACCAGAATGGTTTTATTTTCAATCAGATGTAACTTAATTTAATATTTTTTCTCTACTGCTCTGTAAATTGAACTTTAATTACATATAGGAGGCTCCTGCGGGGTCTATCAAGCTTTTAACATAGCAGGCAATAAGAAATTCTAAATATAAAAGAATTTGCAATGAAGTGTAAACATTAGATCCCTTGTTACAGGAAGTGTTTATGAAGGCTGTGCAAGGACTGCATAAAGAAATTAAACTCCAAAACGGCAGATAATTGAGCAGTGAGACTGCGGGGGCATGATCTATACACAAAAACTGCTTAATTGAGCTTATGTTCTTTTGGTGATTATAATGTCACTTTAATATATGTTTTCAGATCATGTAAAATCTTCTCCCTCTCTCTTTCTTTCTGTTGCTGTATGTGTCTATGTGTGTGTGTGTATCTATATATATATATATATATATACATATACATATACACACAGTTGCAAGAAAAAGTATGTGAACCCTTTGGAATGATATGGATTTCTGCACAAATTGGTCATAAAATGTGATCTGATCATCATCGAAGTTACAACAATAGACAATCACAGTCTGCTTAAACTAATAACACACAAAGAATGAAATGTTGCCATGTTTTAATTGAACACACCATGTAAACATTCACAGTGCAGGTGGAAAAAGTATACGAACCCTTGGATTTAATAACTGGTTGAACCTCCTTTGGCAGCAATAACTTCAACCAAACGTTTCCTGTAGTTGCAGATCAGACGTGCACAACGGTCAGGAGTAATTCTTGACCATTCCTCTTTACAGAATTGTTTCAGTAAAGCAATATTCTTGGGGTGTCTGGTGTGAATCGCTTTCTTTAGGTCATGCAGCAGCATCTCAATCGGGTTGAGGTCAGGACTCTGACTGGGCCACTTCAGAAGGCATATTTTCTTCTGTCTAAGCCATTCTGTTGATTTACTTCTATGCTTTGGGTCATTGTCCTGTTGCAACACCCATCTTCTGTTGAGCTTCAGCTGGTAGACAGATGGCCTTAAGTTCTCCTGCAAAATGTCTTGGGGGGCATCATGGTTTGGGGCTGCATTGCTGCGTCCAGGCCCTGACGCAGCAATGCAGCCCCAAACCATGATGCCCCCACCACCATACAGTTGGGATGAGGTTTTGATGTTGGTGTGCTGTGCCTTTTTTTTGCCACACATAGTGTTGTGTGTTTCTTCCAAACAACTCAACTTTGGTTTCATCTGTCCCCAGAATATTTTGCCAGTACTGCTGTGGAACATCCAGGTGCTCTTGTGCAAACTGTAAACGTGCAGCAATGTTTTGTTTGGACAGCAGTGGCTTCCTCTGTGGTATCCTCCCATGAAATCCATTCTTGTTTAGTGTTTTACGTATTGTAGATTCGCTAACAGGGATGTTAGCATTTGCCAGTGACTTTTGTAAGTCTTTAGCTGACACTGTAGGATTCTTCTTCACCAGCTTTCTCTCCTCTGCTGGTCTGCACACATAGCCTGGTTCACTAAACCGCAAACTTGGCTATACATCAACTAATATCACTTATGATGAGGCAAACTCCTCTGTAAACTGACTGCAGCCATACCACACTATTTGACCTTTAAATTATCATTAAATTATACAACTCAGCCATAGTCAATATTTATCTATTTTAGCTTCAAAATTATCAGTTGTAACTTGCTAAAATTCCAGACCTCCCAATTATCTTGAATATGATGGGACTGTCCTGAATTTGAGGTTCTGTTTGTCTTGCCATCCTAAATTTGTTTTCTCGTGTCAAAGAGGGACAAAAGTACAAATAGTACAGTATGAGTGCATCATTAGATTAATCAAATATTTAAAAAATAAATAAAAACCTGGCATGTGACAAGAATCCATACATTCTTACTTTTACAAAAAAATAATATCTTGTTCAATTTTGTCAAAACACACACATTCTGTCATGGATATCAACAGATAAAATAAGAGAGGAACTTGCCCCTGTACCAGCTGTAACTTTTACTCCATCTGTTCTACTGACCACTCAACAGAGGTGCCTGCTTACATGAATCGGTTTCCACCGATGTAGAATGCATTCAGAGTTGGCTAAACAGTGCTTGACAAACCCCCTGGAGGAAAGCTCATCTAGAATCTCAAGTCTGTCAAATTGACTTAGTTGTATGGCCAGGAGGTGCAGAGTTTTCAACTTAGCCCTGGACTTATCCTTTTTGGATTATATTACTATTCTCCGCAAAAAATCTGTAGTTGCTCATATCCGATTAATGCCTCAATTTAATATTGTTAGATAAGCTTTCCAAATGATTAAATATTTAAACTTTTAAAATCAATGAATATAATGATTGTTTTTAAATGTTGTAATATTTTGATATTTTTTGATATATTGATATATTTTTTATATATTGTAAATATGTTTTGATATTTTAATATGTTGAGAAACAACTTTGAAAGTTTTTATCCAAAAATATTAAATTATTTTTCTTTTCATAATTCACATAGAATAACCTATTGCATTAATCTCTTTCTTAACAGGCTGTAAGCACCTTGGCTGATGTTGCCTGTAAATGCCACGGTGTTTCTGGATCTTGCAGCCTAAAGACCTGCTGGCTTCAGTTGGCCGACTTTCGCAAAGTGGGAGACCTGTTAAAGGAAAAATATGACAGCGCCGCAGCCATGAAGCTAAACAGCCGAGGAAAACTGGTACAAGTGAACAACAAATTCAACTCTCCAACCACAAACGATTTGGTTTACGTTGACCCGAGTCCTGACTATTGTGTTCGCAATGAAAGTACCGGATCGTTGGGGACCCAGGGTAGGCTGTGCAATAAAACCTCAGAGGGCATGGATGGATGTGAGCTCATGTGTTGCGGAAGAGGATATGATCAGTTTAAAACCATTCAGACTGAGAGGTGTCACTGCAAATTTCACTGGTGCTGTTATGTGAAATGTAAGAAATGCACAGAGATTGTCGATCAGTTTGTTTGTAAGTAAGACTCAATGCAAAGACCTATATGGTACATCTGACTATATTTAAAGAGATCATTTAGGAGTTGCAAACACAAGGCAACTGGATCCATTTCTCCTTTTATCACACAACTGCTCGGTAAAACCTTAAACCAACAAACAACAAGAGGAAAAAAACAGAAAACAGAATGGAAAATATTTATTGAAAGAATTAAAGAATTTAGAGGTTTATAATTAGGGAAACTGTGACAAAGGTGCACGGATTAAGAACATGTACAGTAAGGTAAAGATGTGTTTTTATATGGAGATATGGGTAATCTGGGAGAATATTTGGACAGATAAGCAATCCCTTCATCAGACTGAGTGATAAAATATTGTGGTTTGTTTCAAAAAACGAGGACTCTTCTTACCATTTATATTGTGATCGCTTTCTGTTAAGATCTGACCGTTAAATTATCTAACCATAAATCTACTACTCATTCTGTATTAATGGTTACTGGGATGGCTGTGTACGTTGCATAAAAGTCTTTATAGGTTCTGTTTAAAATGTCAATATTTATATCAATAAGTGATCAGAAATTGCAAGATTTTACTCCCCTCCCCCATATTTCCAAGTTGCTTAATACAAAAGCAAAAAAAGTTGAGGATGAACTTTTTTTTTTCCATCCACCATTTTTTTTTTTTTTTACAAACCATTTGATGGGTAATTTAGTCACTTATATGGCAAATTATTATTGCCACTTTTTATTAAGATTTTTTTTTTAAATATATTTTTTTAATTTATTTTTAAGATAGTTTTCTGCCAAAGATGTGTCTCTGTCATCCCAGATAAACATCTATTCATCACACAATCATGAGGTATTTTTGAAGGGATAATATTCATATAATGTTTTATTTTTATTTTAGAGTTAAAATGTCAGAGATACACATTTTTTCACGATCTAAAACCATTTTATCATTGGGAAACATTACTACGCAGTACTATTTTTATTTTTTATTTTTTGTCGTCATACTTGTGCTTATTATCACTATAAACTAAGCATCAATTACAATATGGTTTCATTTATGGGAATTTTGTGGTCTGCTGTCTTCTATTTCAAAGCTTTGTGACTATATGTGTACATATATATATATGTGTATATATATATATATATAACCTTAAATACTGCCAGTAATTAAATGTATATATTTATTTACACATTTATTTAGGGGAGTTTTTTTCTTATTTCATTTAAACATTTTTGGATTTTTATTTTTCAAAATCCTTTTTTGACACTTTTATGAATGCATCTTTCTAGAATGTCTTACTGAGCTGGTGTTAGGTTTTAAATAGGGTGTTCAGAATACTGTTTTTAAAGCACATATATGTAACTATATAAAGGGTTCGGGGGCATAGGGTACATCACAAGTAGGTACTAGGGTGATTTATTTTCACCAATATTCAATGCACTTGAAACAAATTTGCTTATCTTTTTCTTTAAAGAAGGGCATTATGATTACTTGGAATTGGGGGAGAACATCCCTAAAATATTTGTTGTAAAAATTTATATTAAAAAAATGGGTGCCTATTTTGGAATATATGTGCTCCCTCATATAGGGTTTACTCTAGTTGAGATCTGAACATGTTTACCTCTGACATCGCAACTTTTTTTTTTTTTTTTTGGACTGACATTTATGCTCAAAGAACATTAAACATCATAAATGTGTTTTTCCCTTTTGTCTACTTAGTGCATTTTATAGCTTTTAATTTATTATATTTACATAATGAAAGCAGGGAATTACAGTTCTGTTAAGTTACATTAGGAAAGCACTACTTAAATTTAAATACTTTTTTTTTTTTTTTTTTACAAGTTTTCAATATATATATATAAATAAATATATATATTTTTTGTTTTAAGACAAGATTTTTTTTTTCCCCTTCCTTGGAGAATTATGAGATTTTAAGAAAGAGAACTAACTTTACAGACCCAGATTATTCATTTGATTTATTTAATGTAAAATATTTTTAACTTCAAGAAATGTAAATTTATGTTTTATGCATCCTGTACATGGAATGTACATATTTTTTTGCTGCCCTATATGATTTGTATATTTCACTGGCTTAAAAATTGCAGAGAAGAAATAGATGGCTAATGCCAGGCTGAAAGAAATCGAATATAAAATAAAAAAAAAAGGTTTGTTTTGTTATTATCAAGTGGTTTGATTTGACCAACAACGGGTAATCATACAGCAAATGCAAAATGCTGACTTTATTTTATAAATTATTTTGTTTAAAAAAGAAAAGAGCAAAATACCAAAAATTTATATACATTTTTATGAATGTTTTTTTATTTTTTTTTATTTTTTTAATTGTATTGTTATACACTACAGTAGGGATAGGCAACCTTCGGCACTCCAGATGTTGTGGACTACATCCCTCATAATGCTCTTACACCCAGAATGCTGGCAAAGCATCATGGGAGGTGTAGTCCAAAACATCTGGAGTGCCAAAGGTTGCCTATGCCTGCACTACAGTATTTAAAGAAGATCTTGAAGCAAATTTGAAAGTCACTCTCACTATTTCTTTGCAAAATGCCTTTTTCTTAGAGATCAGGATTAAATGTTATTTCAGATGTATTCAATAAAAAAAGTTTTATAAGGCGTTTTGTGTATGTTGGATGTAGTCGGTGATAACCTTTTAGTAGACCAGCATTAGTTCTTTAATGTCACTTTGTAACTTTTTTTGTGATGGCAGATGTAAAATGTTTAGTGATAACATTACTGATGCAATATGCTTTCTCCATTGTTGACATCTAACCTAATAATCTTTATGTTCGAAGATGTAGTGTAGAAGTGCAAATTTTAATACGTCGATTACAAGATTTTTTGTTTGTTTGTTTGTTTTTTTGCTGCTTTTTTGCAGTCCAAGTTTACTGCACTTTGTTCAGAGTGAGTGCCTCTGTAGAGTTTTACTCCTGGTGCTAAGGAGTCCTGATGCTACTTTGAAATCTATTGTTTTAACTTTTTCTCGGGATCACAACTACCATAAGTTGATGACCGACTACCTTGGCGATACTGTCTGTACAGATTCAAAGGCAAAACGGAATTTCCTTTCACAACTCATTTTGGTGAGTTGCCAGCTTATTTTTCCAAAATATAGGCCAATGTAGCCAAGTTGGAGTATTATTTATATATATATATATATATTTTTTTTTTTAACGGTCTAAATTTTCTCAAATACTCTTAACAACTTCTCACAATACACTGTTTGTGCCTAATTAAATTAAACGACTAGTTACACAAACTAGTCCATTTACAGAAAAGTGAAGCTAAGTTGTTAATTAGGTGCCATTTCCATAGAAACCTAGAATGTTTCTACTGATTTCTGTGGTGATTGCACCATGTTTAGCACTTTTGTCTTGGTAATAATATTAAAAGTGCTAATTTAAAGCTGAAAATGTGAAGTGCTGAATGTCATTAACAATACTATCCTTCAGTCAATTCAATATTTACCTGATCAAAGGTTATGATGTTTCATCCTTAAAATCCTGAATGTTATTTTTTTTCTTCTCTTCTTCTTTTGAAATCTATATCCATCTAACATACACTGCATGGACAAAGGTATTGGGACACATATCTTAATTATTGAAATCAGGTGTTGCAGACTCATTGCCACAGGTGTATACAATTAAGCACCTAGCCATGCAGTGGGCATTTACAAACATTTGTGACAAAAAGGGTAATTCTGAGGAGCTAAGTGAATTAAACCGTGGTACGGTGATAGTATGTCACCTTTGCAATCAGTCAGTTTGTTAAATTTCATCCTTGCTAGCTATTCTACGTTCATCTGTAACTTGTAATATTGGAAAGTTGATGCGTTTAGGAACAGCAGGAACTCTGCCACAAAGCAGATGACCAGATAAAGTCACAGAGTGGAGTCACAGAGTTCTGAGGCGTGTGGTGCATAAAAGTCAAAAATGCTCTGCTGATTCTATAGCTAAAAAGTTCCAAACTTTCACTGGCATTAATATAAGCACAAAAACTGTTGGTCAGGAGCTTCATGGAATGGGTTTCCATGGTCGGGCAGCTGCATGCAAGCCTCTCATCATGAAGTACAATGCAAAGCATTGGATCGAGTGGTGTAAAGCACACCCACCGTCACTGGACTCTGAAGCAGTAAAAATGAGTTCTGTGGAGTGATGAATCCCACTTCTCTGTTTGGCAGTGTGATGGGCGAGTCTGGGTTTGGCGGATGCCAGGAGAACATTATGTGCCTGACTGCAATGTGCCAACTGTAAAGTTTGGTGAAGGAGGGGTTATGTTATGGGGCTGTTTTTTAGGGGTTGGGCTAGGCCCCTTAGTTCCAGTTAAGGGACATCTTAATACTTCAGCATATTGCAAGTCTGGGGGTGGAGGTGTGTCATATGGGGAACTATGGCGGAGGTCACGGCTCGGTTGACGTCAGCTGAGATTCTGACTTTGAGTTGGCCAAAGAGCTATATTTAGGCTTTTCTTAGCCTCTTGAGCTACAATATGTTGTTATTATATTTTTTTTCCTTACATTTTTGACACTCAGTGGCATGCTTAATTTTTCTTTTTACTTAGCATACATGGGTACTATACCTAGTAAAATCTGAATGTTCCTTTAAACAATTAATTATGATTTGAACATAACAGCAAATTGTTCTTTCCAGCTACTTATTGAGGAATTTAAGCTCAGCTTATACTTATTCCATTATTTCTAAGTTTTAAATGTTCTCTATACACCCATGCTATTGACACACTGTTTCACTCTATATCCTATGCTTTGTTTAGCAGTAGCCAGTGAAGAATATATCCTTGCATTTTGGTTGCCTGTTGTCCCAAACACTATGTCTTTTTCTGCCTTACAAAAACAAAAGAGAGGTGGTTTAATTCCTTATAAATATGTACTATGACACCGTTTGCATACCTTGTGTTATGCACATTATCACACCTCAAATAAAATGTGATTGAATTTTTTTTTTTTTTTTACTTACCTGCAATCCAGCACTGCATAACTCTGCTCGGTCAAGCTTCTGTGAGATCACAGATTTGGGATTATGTCCATGCTAATGAGATGCTTCTCCTAAAATGCAGATGCTGCGACTTGACAATCCAATGATTCTCACAGAGAAACATAAGAGCAACTACAGTGGCATTCACCTCACTATATGTCAGGCAAAATACATAACACAGAATAGAACGATATAGATTCATAACTTTAAAACCATCTTACATCAAAAATATTCTTGGGTGAGAATAGTAACACTGTATGCAATCTACATGGAGCATGGGGTTGCTCTAATAAATATAAGTGTGACTTACCCATTTCTTACCTTGATACCATAAGACATATTTTACCAGTTGCTGTTTATAAATTTAACTTACAGATTCCACATGAGATTTGCCTTCAATTAAAAGTTGTATGTTTGTTCTTTTTTAATTGTTAGCGCAAATATATTTTTAATTTGCTCTATATAAAACATATTCTGCATCAAGACCAAATTGTAGTCCATATCGAAGGTAGAGAAGAGCGTATCGTGGCTATCTGTCTAACATTTACTAGAGGCATGTTTTTGGTCAAATGTAAATACTGCCATTTGTTAGAAATGACAATGTTTTACATTGTGTGAGTAAAGGTATAAGGTACTTGACCCAAACCAGTACATTTAGTAGGGATGTGCCTGGGCAAAAAATTTGTCTTGGTTCGGTTTTGAAATTCGGGTAAGTACAATTTGTCTGCTTCGGGAGTTCGGACCAATGGCATTCGGTTCGGTTTGGCAATTCGGAACCTAACCCTAAACCCTAACAACTAACCACTTGTTTTTCAGAAATCCGAAGCAATTCCAAACTTCGGCAATTTGTCGGTTCGGCAATTCGAACTTCAAACATTCGTAGGTATCCGAATGTCCGAATTGCACGAAATTCGTCCTAATGTACATTCAGATCGAAACAAATTACGCATGTTTAACATTTAGGTGTAGTGGTTCTGGGACTTAAAGCGCCCTTTTAACATATGTATTGCACAGCAGAAAATGCTGTCAAATTATTAAATAAAAATGACACGCACTGCTAGTTGTTTAGATTTTTATTTGACTTTATAGTCTATTCTGTTCAGATGTCACCAAACATTTTAGAGTGCCAGTGAGATGCCTACAAAGAACCATAGTGCAGTGCCAGTGTATGTGTATGTTTCAGTGTTATTCACTCATGTGAGAATTCAACATAAATTTAAAATTCAAGGTGAAAATAGGCGAATTGTAGAGAAGTCAGACTGCTTCAGGTTTGGCTTCTCTGACCTTAAATTTAAAATACACTATTCACTTTGAATTCTCACATTGGCGAATAACCCTACTGGTTTTACACCATTGTTGATTTTTTTTTGTTTCTATAGTGGTTATGGTTGCAGGAGTGCCCTGTCTCTCCCCCAATGTAAGTAGTCTAATTATTAGCTAACAAATTGACTTCTTTACTGGGGTCTGACAGGAGCCAGACGTTCATTGTGCCACTGCTGGAGCACTCTGCCTAAACTAAGCCCAGCATTGCAGGGTTTAGCTCATTGGTTTTGGAAGGTCAGCTGATGCTCTAAGTCAATGAGCTAGCCCCGCACTGGAGGACTTAGCTCAAAAGAGATAACTGATGTTTATATCAGGAGCTTCTGGCTACCCACACCAGAACAGAAGAGACAAGGAATGGCATCCACAGAACCCCAGGTAAGATGTCAACCCTTTGGCAAACAGTTTGACTAGTTTACATTGAGAGGGTGCCAGGGCACTCTTGGCATCCTGGCATGCATGTGGCAGTGGTTACAGCATTTGGAGTTTTCCCTTAAGTTGGAGAAAATAAAAAATAAAAATTAAAATTAAAAGAAAATAAAATTTACAAGAAAAGCACAGCTATACTGTACATCTGGATATGCAAACTTATTTTAAATGTGTGTAAATCAGTTAAAGAGGAAGTCCCTTGGGCAGTATAAGACATGAGTTCCTAGACAATTAGAAGAAAAACAACATCCTAATTGTAATAAATTAATGCTTACAGTAACTCCAGTGTTAAACATACTATAAATTGGCAAGGGTCTGCAAGTATCTGCATTTTTGCTATTCCAATATGATTAGTGGGTTGATGAACCTGCTGTAGTGAGCTAAGTGTAATGGTAACGTCACTGGATTAAACCACATTGGGTCCACTTTAACTGTCATCATTCCAAGGATGATGAAACGAGTAACAAATCTGTCTCATAATATCTGGTTAGTGTGAATCATATCCCAAGGGGCTAAACATATACACACAGGTTTGTTATTATACTCCATTTTTTTTAAGTAATGGACTATATATAGGAAATACATACCTCTCAGATGAGTAAGCTTGTCCCATATTATGAAGATCAAAAATGAGAAAAAAAAATGTCTTACAATTAAAAAAAAAAAAAGTATTTTTTGCAGGTTTTAGAAAAAAGCTAGGGTCGCACTCAGCCACAATGTTTCAATCCAGGGTGCTACTGAGCATGGGTCAGCAAAAAAACCACACAAGGCATGCAAAAAAAGAAAATCTCAGGCACTCACTGTGAAAATTTCCAGGCAGATTTATTTGCAACATTTCGACCTAACTAGGTCTTTATCAAGCATGATTGATAAAGACCTAGTTAGGTCGAAACGTTGCAAATAAATCTGCATGGAATTTTCACAGTGAGTGCCTGAGATTTTTTCTTTTTTTGGAGCTTTGACATTTTTTTTCTCTCTTCATTATCTGCCCTGGCGTTTCTCTGTCTAAACACCATTTTATGAAATGGTGTAAGTTCCAGAGAGGTTGCACTTACCGTTGAATGAATACATGTGTCTTATGGACAAGAGGTACCTGCTTGATAACCAATTCAAATGTTCTAGATTTATGAATGTCTGAAACATTGACAT